CATCAAATCCTCCTTCTCCCTGCGAAACCAAACACAACAACGACCGTATTCATTTATTTCTGGAGTAAAATAGATAGTTATACACTTAACAGTGTATGGTTGTAGCAAATCTGATTATTTTTTCCTAAGTCTATGAAAGGCGACACATTTTGTAAAAGCACAAGAGGAAGAAACAAGTGTCTATAATGTTTCCCTCATTATAAAACGAGGCAATATTGTCTTGTCACATCACGACAGTCAGTAAAAAAAAGAGTTGATTTGTGTCCACAGAAGACAAACAGCAGCCAGTGTGTGGTTTAATGTGGATCGTCTGTAACATGGCGGGCGTCTGAATCCCTGCCAGTTTGCCTTTGCGCGTTATAACGCGGCCGCGTCGCGTCCACACAGGCGTCAACTCCGTGACGCACTGGAAAAATGCGTTTATTTATAACATCTCGTTCATTTTCACCTAATCTCATTCAAAAAGCTCCGACATATCATTTGAACACCAGTCAAATGAAGAGCTTTTACTGAAGAAGAGCGAATTAATGACTCTGCTGTCATCTTATTGACGGAAAATGGGATTTGAGGGGAAATTGGGAAGAAACTGTCGCACGCAAAGTTGCCGTAACAACACGTGCATGTAAAAGACGACGTTTCAGTTTAAACCAGATTCGCTGGTCATCTGTAAAAACTGCTCTTTTTATTTGATAGCCGTGATGTGTCGAAGCCCTTCTCAACACGACCTTTACGGACTCAATATTTCTGCCAAGACTGCTCTTCCAGAAATCTTTAAATAGCCTACATTTGATTGAGAATCCCACTACATTGTATAATGCTTGACAGATCATTAGTTGACAGAAATGAGTTAAAAGTAGAAATATCACGAAATGTAAGACTAAAATACAAAAACAACTGGTTTAAAATACGTTTTCGTATTTAAAAAAAAAAACTACATTATGATTTGATTCATATTTCAATGGAACTTCACTATTTTTAAACACTGAACTATTAGGAAAAAGGACATTCGGCCTGACCTCTATTTTAGATCTATAGACACACAACATGGCGTTTCTGATGTTAAACAATGAGCATGTGGAAGAAATGAAAGGCCTAATGCGGAAAATCCAGAATACACTCTTACAAAAAAAGCTTCAGGTACAGCACATCTTCTTATCAAACAAAACACACACACACAAAAAATACAAAATTAACTGTATTTTACTCTTTGTAGACAAAGTTTTTGATGTTTCAGGTTCTTCAGATCAACATTTTTAAGCACCAGCTATACTTTCTATTTTTTGTTCTCCTTTACTGTATTGATTTATTTGGTTTTGAGCATTTAAGAAGAGCTCGAGGTGTTTATAAAGTTGCATGACAGTGTCATCAGAAGAAGCATGACCTGCTGAGGGTCACACAGCCAGTGAAACCCATGACACGCGTGTGTTTAGAATGGACAGACCTTCAGGAATAAACACAATCAATTCAAAAGCGCATATTTAATTACAGTTAATGATACAGTGGAGACACCATGAGCCTATAATACACTAATATAGGTCAAGAGCTTGCATGCTTTCTAAATATATCTTTAGATATTTAAAACCCCAACAACATCAAAAACCAATGAGTATTACACACACACACACACACACACACATATATATATATATACACACATATATATTACATATTGCAATACATAATAGGCCCATTTGCACAAATAATCCTGAAAGAGGCCTCACAGAATTAACATCTCAAGATCAACCAGAACAGCTTCGTCTTCTTTACAATAAAGGCTTCAATTATTTGTACCCTTCGTTTCTCACGTAAGAGCAATAGTTGCAATCTAAGTTGCGATAAAGTCAAAGTTATTGTTAGATATCGCATTACATCCTGATGATAATGATGTGTTATATGCCGGTCGACAGATTTCAGCTCGCGTCATTCACACATTCATTTCACTATCGCGAGCTTGAACTGAATTAACATGTCATATGAACTCACGCGAGCGGACAGATGGAAAACGCAGCAGCTGCTGGATTTTAAAACGCAGATCTGAATTCATCATCTTCACCAGCACCACCATCCTCATCGTCATATGTCAGAGAGAATCTCGGTGTGTGTGAATTACCCGTTTCGCCATGCAGCCCCGGGCCTGAACCCTCCGGTGGTCGCGCACTGCCCGTCTTCCCTCCGCGTCTCTCCCCGTCCTGACCCTCCCCGGCACCGGCCTGCTCCGCTCCGCCGTCTCGGGCTCTCAGACGCCGCAGAGGCCCGTCAGCTGGAAGGAGTTCGCGGGGTCCTAGAGCCCGTTAGATCTGAATCACCAGTGACGTCACAGGGAGATCGATTAAGCACGTGATTTTTTTCAGGCATTATATGAACTTGCTTTACCGTCTGATTAAATATATCTGTGTTATGTTCTTGTTTTACTTACATTTTGGTTGCTACAGCTTCATTTTACAGCTAAAATTGCCTTGAGGGAAGCACCTTATAAGGTCAGTTAGGGTCTCTTCAGCTAGTAATTACAAGCAATATAAGGAGGGCTAACAATAACTTGTTCAAATTAAAATAAAATATATAGTGTACCTAAATTCTTTTTTGCTTGATTTACAACATTACCAGAGAAAAATGTAAATTAATAATAATATATTGCCTAAATGTATCATTGTACATATACATTACTATATCTATATAATTGTACCTATACATTCTATCCATCTATCTATCTATATACACGCATAGCCTACACACACTCATTCTCTCTATATACTATATTTATGTAGGCCTACTATTCATTTACTGTTTTTTTTTTTTTTTTATTAGTTTGGTATGTGCCTTTGGTTGTTTCCTGCAAGTCATTTTGTCATGTTGTCAAATAGTTTTTTTCAGCGATAAATAAAGAATAATTGTGTTTTTTTATGTTTTTGAAAGAAGTCAAAAACTTTTAAAAAGTATTTGATAAAAAAATACAGTAAACCGTATTATTGATAAATATTATTACAATGTAAAAACTGTTTTCTACTTTAATATATTAGAAAAAGTTTTTACTGCTTAATATTTGTGGAAATCATTATACTCTACCTTTCAGAAGTTTGTGGTAAGTAAGTGGGAGAACTTGCACAATTGGTGGCTGACTAAATACTTTTTTTCCCCCACTGTATATGTGTGTGTGCGTGCGTGCGTGTAATTTTTCCACATTTATCATGGTGTTCTTTAAAGATGCTAATTGTAGTACCATTGTATACATCAAAATACCATAGTATTAACATCTGATACATCATTGTACCATGGTACCACCAAAGTTTTTTTTTTTTAGGGGACTTGACCTCTGCAAAGGGCCAAACACAGAATAATATAACTTTAAGAGAGAGAGACAGACGAGGAATGGTGTCCTTGAGTGAATCTCAATTCCGAGTTTAATTTTCACAATTCAGATTTTTTTCTTAGAATTGTTAGAAAAAATGTGATAAAAAGTACTTATTTAAATTTTTTATTCCGTGGTGGAAACGGGCTTCTATGTTAAAGAAAAGCTTTAAAGAAAAAATAATAATACTCCAGTCTTTTTTTGTTTGTATTCGTAATATCATTTATTCTGAACACAACAAATCATCACTTGAAATCACATGCGTATAAATCACAGCCTCATTTCTGCAAAATTTGCTTCTTAAAAAATATGAAAAATTTGTTTGGTGGACAGAGCGAAACACTGCAGCAACCGGCACCGTAATGATCGCCTCCACCAAACCAGCCAGCTTTCACAGAAGAGCTCTTGACCCGAAGGGCACAGGAAGTGATGTCATTAAACCTCGTGTACCACAGGTAGAATCACATGACGCAGAGGGGTCCAGAAACAAAAGTGTCCATGAATGAATTTGGCACAAACAAAAAACACAGCAAATTTTTATAGGAGTAAATAACAAGATGAAAGACTTCAAAAAAACTAAATCAACAAGTCATTTTTGGCAGATATTTAAGATTACAATGAAATAAAGGCATCAATTTGATTCACATTCCAGCTTTGCACAAACACACGATTATAGAGGCACACAGATACACACACACCTCGAGAAAAACACACAGCAGATCAGACGTGTGTGTGCAATGTTTGTAGGTCAGAAATGTCTGTTCACAGGAAATATTGATAGTTCTAGAAAAAAATCTACAAAATTAACAATGGCTAAAAATCTCCAGTAATACAACCATTCAGTACATAATCCGCACAAACACACGATTATAGAGGCACACAGATACACACACACCTCGAGAAAAACACACAGCAGATCAGACGTGTGTGTGCAATGTTTGTAGGTCAGAAATGTCTGTTCACAGGAAATATTGACTACAAACAGTGCTTCTAGAAAAAAATCTACAAAATTAACAATGGCTAAAATTCTCCAGTAATAGAACCACAGTACATAATCCGCCTCTTTATTATAGTACCAGTTCGAAAATCTATAAAACTAAATCAATTTGATCTTAAATATACATAAATGCTGTATCAGACTTGAAAATCTGAAATCGAGTATTTGAAATGACCAAAACATTTCCACAAATGTACACCGAAAAGCTGCTAAAAATGCTGTCCGCTACTGAAAATAAATTAAAAAATGAATTGAAAATAAATTACAGTACTGAACTTGACCCTTTTCTTTAATTTAGTTCCTTTGGAAGGTCTTTATACTGCATTCGCAGCAACTGCGTCCTCGAAATCAACATGTCCACATCCACATCAAGCAAGCCACGCCCACATACCTCAGCCAGCCAGTCAACTCGTCACGCTCGTCCTTCAATCATGCATCACTTTCTATTGCGTTCCGTTCCATTTCGTTCCCACCTCAGTCTCGTTCTCGACAGATCTGACACATCTTTGGGTGCATCAAAAGCTTTCAAACTTGAACAAAATCAGCTACAAAATCAAACGAACATAGCTAGTCAAATTAGCAGGTCTGCAACACAGACCCCTTAAACCTGCATCTAAAAACAAAGAAGCGTAAAAAACATTGAAAACAACAAAACATTTTCCTTCTCAAGCAATCCACAGGAACTCAAATCCCTGAACTCTTGCTGATTGGCTGAGTCTGGGTTCAGAGGTCATTGTCTTTGTGGTGATGATGCGTTTGCATGGTGACACCACACCTGAAATAATGCAAAAAAAAATTTATTTGAACATTCAAAATGAACAATGCAACACCCCTACAGATATAATGCTGTGTAATACTCACATGGCACTGCTTGCTTCATATCTGGCTTAACCTGGGAAACAAAAATACTAAATTGTCATTTTAAAGTCAAAGACTCACTTTAACCCAGTAAAGCCTGACATATGAAATAATATTCTTAAAGATCTAATTTTCTGAAATAGAACAGTATATTAAACCTCTAGACAAAATAAAAAACAATTGCATGTGTTTTACGTTTTGTCATATTTGACACATCAGGTTATGGCTCATATACACTGAACAAAATTATAAATGCAACACTTTTGTTTTTGCCCCCATTTTTCATGAGCTGAACTCAAAGATCTAAGACTTTTTCTATGTACACAAAAGGCCTATTTCTCTCAAATACTGTTCCCAAATCTGTCTAAATCTGTGTTAGTGAGCACTTCTCCTTTGCTGAGATAATCCATCCACCTCACAGGTGTGGCATATCAAGATGCTGATTAGACAGCATGATTATTGCACAGGTGTGCCTTAGGCTGGCCACAATAAAAGGCCACTCTAAAATGTGCAGTTTTACTGTATTGGGGGGTCCGGGGGGGTCCGAAAACCAGTCAGTATCTGGTGTGACCACAATTTGCCTCACATCTCCTTCGCATAGAGCCTGTGCAATAATCATGCTGTCTAATCAGCATCTTGATATGCCACACCTGTGAGGTGGATGGATTATCTCGGCAAAGGAGAAGTGCTCACTAACACAGATTTAGACCGATTTGTGAACAATATTTGAGAGAAATAGGCCTTTACTGTACATAGAAAAGGCCTATTTCATAAAGTCTTAGATCTTTGAGTTCATGAAAAATGGGGGCAAAAACAAAAGTGTTGCATTTATAATTTTGTTCAGTGTAATATGATATAGTGAGAATATGGAGCACAAACTGAGCAAAAATATACACTTCGGTGAAGGTGCTAATATTTAAATGCCAAAAAGTAACATGAAATTCTGATAGCTTGTAATGTAAATCAATGATCTTTACAACAGTATAACAGACTACTTACATAAAATGCATATAAATATCAGTTGTTACTCTATAGCTCCGTATAATATGTCTTAGTGAGATGAAATTTAAATGTTTAGCTTTATGATCAAAGTGCTGTAGTTTCAAAACATATAATGCAATACAATGATGATTGAGAGATTAACAAATAAACGTTCCTCAAAAGCCTGAAGATCTCAGAACATTTTTAACACGATTCTTATAAAAAGATATGCATGGATAATCAAGTAAACCTAAGTTGCTTCAGTCAAGTGTTCAATACTAACATCACTAACAATGTAAATGTTATTCTTATGCTTGCTTTATAAAAATCATTAAAGATTTCAAAGCAAGAAGACACATGAACCATGACCTGAAGACGGACTAAAATGTTTTTTTACTTGCTAAAAAAAGTATAAACTATCAGTCAGGCCACAGAAGGCATGTAGCAGATGCAGCAGTTTTGATCATGTTGATCATTTAAAGGCCTTAGAAACTTGAAATATCAAATAAGATACAGTAGGCTTTACAGGGTAAACAAAGAAAATATCTTGCATGAGACATCTGTTAACATACTGTAAAAGCTGCAATATTCAGACATAGAGATGTTGTCTGGAGGTCTCTGGGGATCCATTAATACTCTTATCTGGAATTAGTAAAGCTGCTTCAGCTCAGTACAGTAACTAATTGAGTAGATAATCTACCACCTTGTTTCCTCAACCTTCGTTTAACCTACACAGTGTTTTAACTGAACAGACCTACTACACTTTTAATGCAGTGTAGAACAACTGTGTATATAAAACAGCTGACTTTTGTGTCCCTCGTTATCATATCCATAAATAATGACAAAAATTAACACCTTAAAACATTAACACTTTAAAAATACAGTAATTTTTTTCTTTATGTATATAATGTTCCCAACTGTGACTGTTGAGATTTTGAGGTCAATAATATATATATATATATATATATATATATATATATATATATATATATATATATATATATATATATATATATATATA